GGGGGGGGGGGATGTCTGCTAACTCTGGGGACCCCTGCAGCGCCTCCCCCACAGCACCCACCCCTGCACCTGTCTCACTGCACCCAGAGGAGGAGGGCAGCAGGCTGGCCCGGCTGATTGAATTTCCATGGACTCCCGGCCCCGAGAGTTCATCAGGCTCCCAAAGGTGCTCACACGCCGTCTGCTGGTGATGTAACTGCCAGGGCTGAGGACGGGCTGCTCGGCCTGTGATGGTCCCGCACGTCTCCCTCCAGCCCTCTCAGTGCCTGCAGTCCCCACACTGGCCCTGGCCCCAGGTTCCCCTTTGCCAACCCTGCCTGCGGGGCCCTTGTCCTGAGCAGGGAGGGCAGGTGGGATAGGGAGGCCGGCTCTGGACCAGGCTGACCCGCTGTGAGAGGGCTGGGGGCTGAGGGAGGGAAGAGCTCCTCCCGTCTCGCCCAGTCACCTGCTTCCCTTTACCCTGGTGTCCCTTCATCCCGCCTGGCGTGTCCTGGTCCCCTGGGAGGCCGGGGCCGGGCCTCCACGGCCCTCGGTTCTGCTCTTCCTGGAACCATAGAGACAGGCTGTCCCGTCACTTCTCATCTCATCGCACCCAGAGCCACCTGCATAGCCTGGGTGAGCCTCGGGGAGCTGGGTGGGACCGGGGATGGGCTTGTTGTGACAACCCTGGTTCTCATCACATTCCTCCATTCCTAAGACCATTCACGCTGCAGCTCTGGGCTGATTTCCTGTCCACCCGGCAGGCAGCAGGGGCTTCTGCCCCTCAAAGTCCTGGTGGCCGGAGCTCCTGCAGCTGGGCAGTCGGGCTGGAGGAAGGAGCCCGTTTCAAAGGGCTGTCAGTCAAGCATTGATCCCCTCCCAGGGACCCCTGCTCCCAGGACTGAGGCTGACGCTGGCTGGTCCGCAGACCGCCCTTTCGCAGGCTTCGCCCTCTGCTCCCTGTGATGAGAACGGCTCTGAGTCTCTGCCGATGCTGCCCCGGACCCAGCCCTGCCCTCCTGTCCTGCGGGACACCGATAGCTGGGGCGGGGGGGATGCCCACAGAGTTCCCCTCAACAGGGAGCCTTCCAGGTGTTGGCCAATGAATGGAATCCCCGTCCTCCCGTGGGGAGAAGCAAGGCAGGGCACCCAAAAAGTGTAGGCAAGAGTCCAGAGGAGGCTGGCAGAGGGGTGGGGACTGGGCAGACCCACTGATGTGTGTGGGCAGCTTGCTGTCCCTGTGGCGCACACAAGCCGGACTGTGAGCTCGGTGACCAGCCTGGGGACTGGTCTCAGAAGACAGTGTGTCCCCGCAGAGCTGGGAGGGCAGCCCAGCCCCACACCCCCTGCATCATGACCCCATTATACTCTTTCTCTCCTCTCTCTCCTCTCTCTCCTCGCTCTCCTCTCTCTCCTCCTCTCTCCCCTCTCTCTCCCCTCCCCACTTCCCTCTGTCCCCCGCTCCCTCCCTCCCTCCTTCCACAAGTTCTGTTGCCAAGATCCTGCCAATGGCTGTGCCATTCATTGCACCCAGGAACCCCAATTTCAGGGCCATCTTTGCTCCCTCCCCGCCCCTTGTACCCCACGAATCATGCATGCAGCCTGCCTGGGGCAGGGGAGAGGGGTTCAGTGTGCAGTTCTGGTGCATCCATGTTGGGGGGGGGTGGCATCCCTCTCCCCAGACCTTATTAGCACCGTCCTGCCCCCACCCAGCCTGTGCCGCTGCCAGTTTACTCTGATCATGCCACTACCATGCCCCTCCCTCTCAGAGCCACCCATGGCTCCCTACTGCCTTCCCTCTAATCACAGCCTCCTCGCTTTGGCACGTAGGGCCTTGATTAATATGGCCCCAACCTAACTCTGCA